GGAAAGAGTATCTTAGAGTGAGAATGGAAGAGATGGTAAAATCATTTTGGAGAATAGAATTAGTAAACTAGAAAACTAGAATTGTGTATGTGTGTGTGTATGTGTGTGGGAGTGAATCACAGCAAGGATGTACCTGTAATTAGCCATTGTGAGTTTAAACTGAGAGGGATCAAATATGAGTATATGTTATTTTTCATTTACTTTCAATTACATGGGTTCATGTCAGGAGTAAGTGAATTTAGCGTGGCAAATATTTTGAAGGGATAACAAAGAAGGGTTAACTAATTTATTAGTATATGTGATGATCTTATTCAAAGTAGAGAATTCTTTTATACATTAAAAAAAGAATGGAAGAAAATCTTAATGGACTAGAAAAAATATTTCTCTCTGCTGTAGAGACTTTTTAAAAAGTATCTCTTTATTTTTGTTAAAACAGATTAAAATCTTTATAAGTCATGCAGATTTATAACCATGGTCATATAATAAAACATTTACTATATGAACAAATATAGAAAGATTTTCAACCATTGGTTTTTTTTTTTTTTCTTTTTTTTTTTTTTGTCTTTTCTCTCTCGGATATTACAGATGACCATGGATGAAAAATACGTAAACAGCATTTGGGACCTTCTGAAAAATGCAATTCAAGAAATCCAGCGTAAGAATAACAGTGGTCTTAGTTTTGAGGAGCTCTATAGAAATGCATATACAATGGTTTTGCATAAACATGGAGAAAAGCTCTACACTGGACTAAGAGAAGTTGTTACCGAACATCTCATAAATAAGGTATCCAACTTTAAAGGACTGTTGCTAATACTGTATTGAATGTAGAACATCCTTTATACTATATTGTACTTTGACAAGAAGTATTCTTTTTAAAGACTCTAAGAAAGCCTATAAAAAATTACTGATTCATGACTGTTACTATTAAGCCTCATTCAAAACTTACAATCAACTAAATCAGAATTTTTGATAATGAGAGAAGACGAAGTTTGTGATCTGTGATAACTATATTCTCTAAATTCGTAATTAATAAAACACACTTGGTAATTTACAAATTCTTATTTGTTTATATGTTAATTACAGGTTTTTTTTTCTTTTAATGCTTTAATCAATCAGCCCATTTTAGTTTTCTCTGCTTTCTTTGTATATTTGGAAATAAAACTGCATTATTTAAAAAACATTCTCTAAGACTTTTACTAATTGAAGTTGACCATATTCATTTTAACTGAGTTCTATAATGAATGTGAATTTTTTTAAGATAAATAATTTGTGGGCTGTTAGCATAAAATGGTTCTTGGATTTCAAAAAGACGTGTGGGTTTTTTTTAGAGTAAGTGTTTTTATAAAGCAAACTCTTCCACTGCAAATAAAATGTTATTCACTTATGAAACAACTTTACCACAATGTCTTACTTTGAGATTGTCAAATAGAATGGAAAATGCCTCAGATTTATTAAACCTTCTCATAGTTTTTGTGTGGTATTAAAATATTCATTTTTTATAGTTTATTTTGGGAGGGAGAACACAGAAGATGGCATGAATATACACTGAACTCTTGTGTAGATTTGCCAGTTAACTTTTCACCCCATTTTTGCCAGTCTTGTTATTACTGTTATTATCAATATTGTTATAATTATTCTGTAGTACAAGAATAGGTTTAGATTTTATTTACCCTAAAATACTTTGTAATACATTTCTTCTAAGAATGAGGATATTCTCAAGGAACAAAGATCAAAATCAAGCAGTTTAATATTAACACACTTTTTTGAATACAGTCTGTATTCAGATCTCACCAATTGCCTGTGTAGCAATGATGTCTTTTATAGCAGTTTTGTTTTCTGATCAGGATCCGTTCCAGGATTGCACACTCAGTTCAGCTTTTGTCTTTTGTACATTTGACATTTAAGAGTATATAGGTCAGTTGTTTGTAGATTGTCCCTCCGTTTTTGGTTTTTCTGATTGTTTCCTCATGACTAGTTTCAGGTTATGCATTTTTGGCAGGAATAATACATAAGTGATGTTGTGTCCTCAGTGCATCACATCAGGAGGCACATGATGTCAGTTTATTCCATTATTGGTGATGTTAACTTTGATCACTTGGTGTCCGCCAGATTTCTCCACTGTGAAGGTACCTTTTTTCCCTTTGTAATTCATAAGTAATCTGTTCAGATGTATTTTGAGACTGTATGAATATCCTGTTCCCCCAGAAACTTAAAAGTGATGATTTTAGCATCCATTGATGATTCTTGTGTGAGTCATTATTACTATGGTGGGTGTAAAATAGTAACTTTCTGTTTCTACTCTTTGTTTTATAATTCTTTCTCTTAAGTGGGATTACATGAGCCCCATGTAGTTAGCATCTTAGAAAGTGTTTTTGTTAAGTGCCTACTCTGTCCAGCTGTTAGTGCAAATATAGTAGATAGAAAGAGAAGAGACTATTCCTTACTTGGATCATTTTCACTCTGATGTGAGAGATGATGCATACATTTAGGTGTGAGATATTATATAATTAAGTGGAAAATGAGTTATATAGATGATAAATGGTTTAAGAGCTCAGGTGTGAAAGAGAGATTGCCCTGGACTGTAATATTTCATGGGGAAAGGTGAAATTGAATTGAAACTTGAAAACTTTTCAGATATACGTGAGCAATGTGGAAAGCATTCCAGGATGGCAAATGCCAAGAGAAAACATTTAGATATAGGTTACATTTAGGTGGTAAGTAGAGTTTGATTGAGGTACATGATAATTATGATGACTCATACATTACAGTGTTACAAAGATGGTTTGGAAACAGAAGTAAAAAAGTTCGAATGCCATGCTAAGAATTTGGACTAAATAGTGGAGAGTTACTAGGGATTTTTTTAGTGGGTGATAATGTGACAGAACATTTGAAGATTAATTTGAGAAAGATGTAAGTGTTAAATAGAGTGGATATTTACTAGAATCAGGAGGAGCCCTGGAAAAACTGGGTGACTGGATATATTAGAAATGAATAGATGATGTCCAAAATTATGAAATAAGACTAGTTAGAATTTGGTTACTGGAGAATTATGGTGCCACCAATAGAATAGAAATACTGTGAAGTTACAGTGGAAAACTTTATTGGAATGGGTAGAAGAGATAAGTTTCATTTTAGATTATATTGGAAAAATTTATAGTTGGAAGGGATCTTAGAAATCATTTCATAGGTGATGAGTTAAATGGAGAGTGAGATCATTATAAGATATTCAAATAGAAGTATCACGTGTTTAGAAATATACAGGTTTAGAGCTTGGGCAGGGACTCAAAACTAAATATGGAAGTTTGACATTTGGTACTATATACTGAGGAGTAAGTGTTGGGAGTTTGGAGACTGAAGAGCCTGGAGCCAAGGAATGAATCTTCAGCAGCAAACTATGGTAAGTAGGTGTGGGAAATAGGGAAGATTAAGAAGTTTGGCATCAAGAGAAAAAAGAATAGTGTACGTTTTTCTAAAACTTCTGAAGGGGAGTCATTGAACTCTTGGATACAGAAAAAAGAGTATGGGGTTAACATGAAGAGAGGAATGTGTTAACGTTTGCCAGTTTCTAGAGGGAATGATAATAATGAAAATAACTTACTCTTACTCTGGGAGGTCCATTCTAGGGATATTACAATACATCTATTATCTTAGCTAATTATCATAACCTAATGTGCCAGATACTACTGATACTTTTATTGTACAAATGAAGAAGAGACCAAGACACAGTATCAGTGATTTGTCTAGAGAGATGCACATAGCTAATAAGCACCCCAGCTAGAACTGAATTCAAGCAGTGTGGTTTCAGATTGAATCCTTGACTTCTCTATAAATTCATCATCATGCAGTACATATGTTGAAATTGAGGGTTGGTGTAGGGCCTCAAGTTAATGGGCTTGCTGTCCGTAAAGCTTTAATTCTTTAAATTTTAGAACTCTTAAATTTTATTTATATTTGAAATAGAATTTGAAGTAATCTGAGATTTCTTCTTTTCTAAAACCATTATGGTCTGATAATTAAACCTTCCATCTTTTGAAAGTAAAATGAGACTTGAGGTAGCCCTGTACTTGAGGTAGCGCTTAGGTAATATACTAAGGAGGTGAGGGAAAAGAGCTTAGTAAGACTTGGTCTGAATGTGCCATCTATAATTTCTTTTTAAAGCAGTGCTTTGCAGCTTCAATACAGATGCAAAAAAAAACTTCTGTAGTCATGTGTTACGGTTGAAATTTGGCACATTCAAAAAGTGAGGGGAGGAGGCCAGAGTGGGAGGTTTATGTTTAAGTGACTGATTTGGGGGCTCGAAACATGTTTGACTAGATAACTGAAGTCATGTAAACAAGTCTATGAGGACTCTAAGAGCCTCAGCAATATTGTAAATTGCTTATGTGATTTGTTGTCTAGGGTTAATTGATGTTTGGGGCTGCTATAGCAAATGACCAATATAGGTGATTGTGCTAATAAATAAATGAATATGCTAAATTTTTAATTTAACTTCTCTCACGTGTCTTTATTAATGTTATATCACCAGTATCAGAAAATATTAACTTTTTTCTCCTTTTCTTTCACACTGATTTGACCAGTCACTGTCTGACTAGGAAATGTACACATTTCTGTGTGTTTATTGATTTCTTTACTTCCGTTGAAGTAAGTTTTTGAAACTTTTGCTATCTATGCTTTCACTTTTGCGTTTTCTACTGACTTTTTTTGGCTCTACCCCAGTGTGCAAGCCAGAGAGAAATCAACCCCCCGGGGGTGGAATTAAGGGGGCCACACTACAATCCCCCCGTCTTCCATTCTCTTCTTGGAATTTTGGGCATACACACACACTTGGCAGGTGTGATTTTTTTCAAGCTGCTGGATCTGAGATTTAAGCCATGCATTTGGCCATATGGAATCTGGTCATCTTAGCCTCTATACTACCTGCTAGCCCATGTTTCTACTTACTTCATTTTTACTCTTATGAACTAATGTTAATAATCATACAAGTGCCAGTACTACTGTATGAAGATGACAATACTGAAAGAGGACTATTAACTGACAGAGCCATCATGCAGTAGCTCAAAATGCTTGTCTTCTGATGGACAAAGTCTCAATCTGTTTGACCAAATGGGACTTAGGAAGTCACTGATGTACAAAAGTTGAGCTTGCATGAAAACCAGAATTCCCTTTCTGCATCACAAATTTTTGCTAGGTCAGGGTTCTGTGGCATCAAAATTCCTACCTTTAATCTCTAAAAAATATGCCCCTTTTTGTGGTTCTGGAAACATTGCTCTTTGTTCTGTTCATTACTTTTTCTGTTCACTCTGCTCTTGGGATTTAGTTGAGTAGCCTAACAATTTTGATACAGATATACACATAGATATTTTTAGTTTGTTAGAGGGTATGTGTGCTCGCTGGAGGGAGGGGGGAAGAGAGAGAGAGAGAGAGCGAGCAAGAGAGAGAAGGGGTTGAAAGGGATGGCCACGTTGCAGTCCCTTCTCCATTCTCCTTTCAGGATTTTGGGCATACATGCACACCCACTCAGCCTGTTTCTCAAGTCGCTGGGTCCAGAACTCAAACCATGCAGCTGGCCATATAGGATCCAGCTGCTCCAACCTGCATGCCACTGGCTAGCCTAGTAGATAATCTAAAGCGAAGTATTTTCAGTGCTGTGTGGTATGGGGAGCCAGGGCCTGTCTTTTTTACATGGAAGAATTCAAGGGAAATGTAATTTTTACATGGAATTAGGGATAGTTTGTTATATAGTTTATTGGTACCGAGATTTCAAGGTGAGTAGTGAACATTGA